GTCACAGCAGCGTTCATGTCCCCCCGTCCTACTTAATGATTAGGTTCTCATTTGATTCTAGCCTTTATGATGACTTAAAGCCCTTCCTGTGTGCTGGGGGTTAGCTCTGAACACCTGAATATCTCATGTCACAGCAGTGTTCATGTCTCCCCGTCCTACTTAATGATTAAGTTCTCATTTGATTCTAGCCTTTATGATGACTTAAATCTTGGTTTCTCTGCTTAACTGTCCAGTTCTTTGCTGGGGGAGAATAAAGCTGTTAACACCGCCTACTTTGCCTAGGCCCTAAAACCCTGTATAATTCTTGCCAATAATTCTGCCCATCGAAAGTCGGCGCCTCCTCCCTGGGCTGTGCTCCACCAGCTGTGGGCTGTGGTCTTGCTCTGGCTGCATCAGTCCCAGAAGCAAGGTGACTAGTGTCCCCGCATGTCTTCCCGGTTCTGACACCTTGAATTTCTACAGTTCGCATAACTTTTCCCTGTTTCTCAAACTTCGGCGTCCACAAGACCCTCATGCAGAGCTTTCAACAGTGTTCAGGGCTCTGCCCCCAGCGATTCCGGTTCAGTAGGTCCTGGAAGGACCCGTGCACGTGCCCTTCTAACTAGGTCACAGGTAAAACTGGCTCCGGGTCACACTTTGAGAAGCAGTGTTTGGAATCGAACATTGAAGGGAGGGCCTCCCCAACACCTGCTTGGTTTTCTTCCATGCTGCCAGCGAGCCCAGTTCCAGCTCCTCAGCAGCCCATCAGCCAGTGAGGTGCCCGGGCTCCAGAAGACACACGCGACACTGCGGCAGAAAGGCGGGGACGGCCGATGTGCCGCGTTTCCCTTCAATGACGTCCTGTACTCGCATCACAGAGCCTAGCTCCAACTTTACCTTCCGGTTCACTCTGAAGGGGTGCACGTTTATTAGATTAAGTCAGCAGCTGAAATAGATTTAAATTCATTCAATGTACCTGCCTGTTTCCTCAATGCGTTTTTACTGAATCTAACAGGATAAAGTAGGACAAGTATAGAAATTTGCCCTCAGTAGCTTCCGACTCTGAGGCACACTCTTGACTGCCTTGGTGGATTGTGTCTGAATTTAATAAAATGGATATAAATAAGTCTCGTGAAGTGTCTTTATTTCCCTTCTCAATTTGAATTGTCAGAGTATGTATAAGAGAAAAAGCAGCATAAAGCTAGCGTCATGGGTGGAGGCACGTGTTACTAAAAAGAGTTGTTTTATTGGCCATATTGTCAGCTAGGGGGAATTTAAGCCAGGATCTCATCAGCAGGGAAAAACAAGAAATAGCCGTGAAGTTTGCTGAGGTAGGATTTCTTGTTTCCTCCTGATGATAGATAAGTAGGGACTTTGATGACTTGGGGCTTTTCTTTCATGGTTCATACAGTGGGAAATAGAACAGCTGAAAAGGCGGTTTAAAATTAGAAAAAGAGGTGATTTATTCACGGGTTCATATTTCTGATGCAAAAGAAACAAATTCATTGGGCTTAGAATAAATTCATAAAGTCCCATATATGGAAGCAAGGAGTCAAATGATGTGAGACTGTGCCAAAAAGTTTTCTTCAACGGCTGTAAAATTGAAAGTGAGCCATGATAATCTAGTTGCATGGTAATCACACCTGTTGGGTATGTATATCATTTTTATTCTTTTTTTTTTTGCTATTAAGTGAAAGATAAAGCTTTTGCTCTAATTTGCATTTTTGTTATTATTTAGGACCATATTTTCTCATGTCTCGTTTACTATTTGTAAACTTCTATGCAGTTTTGTGTGTGAAATATTTTAATCTTTACCCAGATACCTAATGAGATGTTAATAATAATGAGATATTAACAGAAAAATCAATTAAAATGCAAAATTAAATTGAAAAAATATGATTACTTCCCAATTGTAATATTGAAAAAATGTATTTTTCTAGTTTGTTGCTTTTTAGTTTGTTTTTTTCTTCCTTCTGCTGGATGTAAATATTTTATATTCAAATACGTTTGTTTATCCCACTGTGATTTCTTCTGTTGCTTCAAAGCCGAGATTGCTCTCATGATACACTTCTCATACATGTTCCAT